TGGCACCCCGAGTCTCATTATTATAAATTTATGTGGCAGAAGTCATTTACCAACTAGTTCAAGGACAAGCAGAGGTCACTAAATGGTAACCTTTAACTGCTTAGCACACATATCAGTCAAGCCATTTTGAGGCTTTTTCAAAAATGAGGCCCAAATTTACATGCCGAACTTTAACGACCCTTAAGTGCGTTAATTCATGGGCTCATTAATGCTGAGCTGTCATTTTGAATTTAATAACTGCTAACATGCCAGCCCCCAGGAGAGTTCCGGCGTTGATGATGCATCTCAATTCGGCATCTTTTTTTTTCGGTGCTAACCAGGCCCTGGGGGCAGAGCCATTAGATAATCACCTGCATGCACCTGACAATTACAACGCCTATTAATAGAGGCAATTTTCGCGCGCCTCCTGATTATGGAATAAAGACATTATGGCCACGCCTGCTGGCCTCCACATGGTCATGCGGGGCCAAAGTAGGAAGCATTTTGCAGAAGGCGAGAACTACAGCTCCAGACGGCTCCTCATTTCATGCGCATTTAACTAATCTGTCATCTAATCCGCGGCAGCATCTCGCAGAGCTTAAGGAGTCTTAATGCCAAGACTTCCACGGCCTCAGTCTGGCAAGCACACTGCGGTTAAGTATAGTTTCAGAGGAACAGAAAGTGTGTAAGCAAGTAAACTTAAAAGTTTTGTAAATTTTAATATATTTAGAGTTATGGAATTAAGGTTAAATTGGAATTTTACTTAAGTAAAACCCATAGAAAAGGGTCTTTGAAAAGAAGTAAAGTAAAACAAAGGTTCTCAAATATATAACTAATCTATTTGTAACACTCTTTTAATAGTAATAAATACATCTTTAGTTTTTTTTACTGCTTTACTTATAGTTTCACAAAGACCCCGCCACCGGAAATACCTTATATTCTTCAAGTGCAAAGGCAACCTTGTCTTTCGTTTGCAATTACATAAACATAGTATAAACAATTAACTTATTGCCATAAATTCAAAACAACAAAAGTCAGCCGCTTTTGCAGCAGGAAACGTAATAGTTACATTTTTCCAAGTAGAAAACTCTTGAAGGCAGTTTCGATTCGCTTGTCGCGCCGCCTGTCTGACAGCCGATGATAAAAGAAAAGAAATCCCCAGACCCAGACCCAAACCAAGACGCAGACGCAGACGCATAAGTTGGCATGGATGCAGTGCAGCTTGTAACTAGGCATTGTCGACTGACAGTCTGCTGGTGGTGGTGGTTGTGGTTGTGATGTTTTGTCCCGGCTACTTTCATTTCACAGACGAGTGGCTCTGCCTCAGCAGAGTTACTCTTTTGCCGGCCTTTATCAGTGCCCATTGTTTGCCCATTTCCCAAATGGAAACCGAGCTCCAAGCAGCCGCCGACGAAGCAGAAGCACAAGTAGCCAAAGCAGAAGCAGAAATACATAGCATCAGCAGCTGCCAGCCTATGCGATAAGATCCCCTATGCTGGGAGCAGAGCGGAAGAGTTCGGGTTCGAGTCCACATGGCATGGAAAGACCACATGGCAGCCACTTTTGCGGCATTCATGGCTCGTTCAATTAGAATTTTATTCATTCATTTAAAAATCAATTATGGGAATACTATAAACAGGTCATTCATAATTAAAGTTCGAATATAACTTAAATAATAATTTCATAAATATTAAATTATTTGAAATATTAAAATCAATATAGTTTAAAGCAGATATAGTCTTGAAACTCTACTTTCATAACTCATAAAATCATAGAATTCATGGGTAAAGTATAACCATGTTCACTTGATCCCTTGAGGGTTCCTTTTGAGCTCTGCAAAAAAAATATTTCCCACAGCTTTGACTTTGGCCTTCATTTGACTTCCCTGTAAATTTGTGTTTCTTGTACTCCTCTGCTGTTGTTTTTGCTGTCTTGGTGATTAGCTCCACCCTAAAAGATTTTTACAACTTGCAATTAAACAGAGGTTCGTTCCAGGCGGCGGAGGCTACTCCTCCGATCCGTCTACGTCTCAGTTCCAGTCCCAGTCCCAGTCTCCATCTCTCAGTCTGTCTTCTCTATTTATGGCGCTAACATTACTCAGACGCATGTCGGTGTTGTTGGTTGTACTTGAAGCCAAGCGGAGACAAGCAATTACAAAAACAGCAACCTTGGCTTTGGCTTCAACTTCGGCTTCAGCTTCGTCTCGAGTTCGACGTGGCAACCGAGGTTTGCCTTTGGCAACAGCGGCTTCTCTTTTGGCATTGCGTGCTGCGCATGCGCAACTGCGTTTTCCACAATTTTTCTAGATATTTTTTTTTTCTTTTGTACCTCGATTTGTTTTTTGTGGCCGGCGGCTGTTAATGCTGGCCACTTCAATTTGCCATATTTATTTTGCCTTTTATTGAAAATAATAGCTAAGTGAGACTGAACGCTTGACTGGGCGAAGGCACAGAGAGAAAATGTATATTTTAAGCAAATTTATAATTAATAATTATTAGTTATTATTGGGCTGTATTTCTTTTACGTGTGGCTGAATACGTTGGCCTGTTTTGCTTATGATTTTTAGTATAATTTATGGTCTTTTAATGTTTTAGGCAAATGGTTAATTTAGTTGGCCAGCCTTGAAGGTCTTTGGGTTAATGAAGGTTGAGGAAGCGCCGCTGGTCAATAAGTTTTATAAAGAGAATCTATTAGAGATGGGTTCTATGGCAATGACGCCATGACTAAATCATTTGAATAAATCAAATAAAATAATCAGCGATGAGTAATGCTTGGAGAGAGACAACACAAAGCCAGTTGATAGGCCGGCAATTGCACATTTGCCGCCCTGATGTCCCCAATTGCATTTCCCAGTAACCAGTTTTATGATTACGACTCTGGGTTCGACCCTCCTCCGTCTTGCTTAATTTATGGTGCGCTTCATTTACTCGTTTTCAGCATAAAACTAATTAAAAAGCCTTGATGCTTGTTTATTAATAAAAAAGGGAGAAGAAACAAAGACGTTTATTTTCATTAAAAAGTTCATAAATTGTTTCTTCTGGGATTATGCGTCATGTGAGCTTTACATCGAAGGGAAGTAATAAAGTTAAATGTAATAAAGGGGTATTAAAAAATCATTAAAAAACCAAAAGACCATATTAGTCACTTTTAAAATTCCAATCGAAACTTGGCAAGTATTCAGAAAATTCGTAACTCTCCCAAAAATAGGGCCTAGCATTCAAATGACTCACAAGACTCTCCAATTGTGTAGAGTCACGGCTCACACTTAACCAAAATTTATATCTCAATTCCCGTTAAAGCGTTAATAGGCAGTTTTGAGTTGTATATTTATAGAATGCGGGCTTAGCCAAACGAACACCTGGTAACACCTGCAGAACCACTATTAAACTCACACAGAATCACTTCCATAGAAATACTTCAGCGGCTAAAAACAGTTTAAAGCTTTATGTGCCCCGTCTCAGCAATTTGATTTATTGAAGACCTTGCTCTGGCCGCCACGCTGAGTACATCAAAATCATGTTAAACACATGGCGCACTTAGAAGATGAAGACGCCTGGGATGCCAGCGTGGCCGTAAAGATAAGCTCGCTCACCAAAATGGTCTTCAAGTGACAGTGTTTAGAGAGGATGGGGATGAGGCCTTAATGAGGCTAAAAAAAACGAACACAGAAATTGTCACTCACGATCCCCTCTCCAGCGATAAAAGGCTGACACGCAAGAGGCTACTTAGGCCAAAAATGTAACATCAGCGCATCGCTGAAGATATTCCAACCCGACCATGATGGAGATGCATTGATAGATTAGACCCAGCTGCTAGCCGACTCTTGGCCTGCAGTGTATCGGATATATCAGATGCAATATTCCGTTCCCGTCCGTGACAGGCGTTGCAAGGCTATCGATTACCGGGGAGATGTGCGCATTCCTCATGCCCGGCGTTCTTGGGAAACTATTTTTAAATAACTATGTGCTCCCTAAATGGACACTCATTGGGCTCTGGACACAGGCCAGCTTCAGCTCTTCTCCTCATTGGGGTCCAGGCAAGTAAAAATAGCCCAAGTGCTATAATGAGATGAGAGAGTTACTAAGAGCACACAGACTTCAGAGTTCTCTATGTAATTATATAGATTTTTATGGCATTACAAATTAATTATGGCGAAAAAATCAGCGATATTATAATTATTGATTCTCTAATTATTTGATAGGATTTATTTTTTCTATAATAGGATGAGATAGTCACTCGGAGAATGGCAAGTGAAGAGTCTGCTCTATGTAATTATTTAGACTTTTATGGTCTTTTGGTAGAGTTTATTTTCTAGGAAAAACTATTACAATTTGATTATAAAGAAGAAACCAGCGATATTATAATTATTGATTCTTTAATTTTTTAATAATAATGGTAAGAGAGAAAGCTAAGAGTTAGAGATAGTCTTTTTTTAACACAATCTAAGCTACATTTTAAACACTTTTATAAACTTAAACTCGTACCTCTACTCACTTCACTTTTCAGCTTTTTAAAAAAAAAGACTCCCTCTTCACTTAACTCCTTCTTCTGTTAGAACGACAGCCAACCGAGGGCCCTCAATTATGTTTCAACTGTTTTCTTTTTTGGGAGCATAACTATTGATAATGCACTCGCTTCCTCCTCCTATAAAGCAAAATCCCATACAGATTCGCAGGTTTCGTGGTCTATCCACTGGACGGGTCACTCTTTGGGGCTGTCATTAATGGCGCCGCTGCTTGTTTGGCCCACAAAACAAAAATAAAAAATCCAACTACTATGTACAGCTAGGCCGCTAAACCAAACGAGTTTCTGTGTTCTTTCTTCTGGATTCCACTGGGGCAAGCGTTTTGTGGTCCACGCCTTTTGGGCGGCAACTTCGAAATTGAACTGGCTGGAAGCTTCGGCGCAATTATCTGGAGGCAACGCCTGCCGATCCTGGCCAGCAGGAAAAAGATTTCAAGGTTCGTTGATGGTTGCTGCTGGAAACTGTGGGAATATCTGGGAATCGAAAAATCACAGTTTCGAGATCATTGTCATTGTGTTTGTGTTGTTTGGTATGAGCATTAACATTCGAAATTCATAGCCCAAAAACAAAATTCGTAAGTGATTACTTGTCCATCGAAAGGCCACACCATGCCCACCATAAAGCTGTCGATTGGTTTACCCTCCCGGCGAACGTTTGGAAGCATTTGCATACTCGGCGCCCTGGCCTCCATTTCGGGCCTGGCCTATATGCGCTGGCGACATGAGAACCTAGTCCGTCGCACGGAGTACTACCAGATGGCCATCCAGCAGGTTCGTCAGCATAGCGGAGCCGTGGACCTCCTGGGCATGCCCATAAGGGAGACTGGCTTTAATCTGTCCAACGAGAAGAATCGCTGCGATGCGGACCAGGCCCAGTTGCAGGTCTTCGTGCATGGCCCCAAGGACAAGGGCACTGTCTACTTCTGGGCCTCCAACAATGAGCAAAAGGGCTGGCTAATCGATCGCCTCGAGCTCGAGACAAAGCTGCATCCCAACACACGCTTTCTCCTCAAGAGGCCGAACTATGCTCTGGTTAGCAACGAAAGCGATAATGAGTCTGATGACGAGGACTCTGAAGGGTTATCCGAGCAGTCCAATGAGTATGTTTCCGAGCAACAGAAGCCGGCTCCACAGAGCAAGGAACCACTCCAGGAAACCCTACCACCACTCGACATTCACAATTATCCGGTGCAACAACGGAAACAACAGGAGGACAAGGAGACAATCCCTATTGTCCAGACAACAGAAGGCGGACTTGTGGAGTAGGAAAAGGTTTGAAAATCGATATGCAATAATTCCTTTTCCATTACCCTTTTAATCTTGAGTAAATTCCACAGTAATCACTAAGATGTAAGTAACCTGCGAGCCATGAGGGAAAACTTTTCAGATATTACATCAGAGATGCCCATTCTCTTTGAAACTAATTAATTTACGACTACTTATAATACAGGATAGTTCTTAAAATGTAAATTGCAGAGAATCAAACTTTACAAAACAAAATTCCATTAAATATGTAATGCAAATGAAATCATTTAAAATGCAAATTCTAAGGTAACACAGACTAAATATGGCAGTTTTAATTTTTTAAGTAGGTTAGTTCTTAACAAAATTAAAGCCAGGTATATAGCAAATTCTGTATTCCTTACTATAAAATTATACAAATAAAGGGAATATATGTTGCAATTAAATTTAAATTACCTCTACTTTTCTTGAATATATTATTTTCATTTTATATTTTTAGAAGCATAATAAATTACAGTGTGAAAGAGATGTAGTTATTTGCTGACCGTAGAAGAGACATTTTAATTTACTTAAAATGATTCTCATATATGTATGCAGTATGCTGCTGCTCACATTCTTGTTGACATTCGTTGTTTTTTGTGGTTTCAGCTTCGGTTGAGCTTACTATATACATTATATTTATATGCAAAGTAAAATGAATTTGATTTCATTTAGATATTTGCAGTTTATTTTTAGTGGTTGCCTGTGCCTTGTCTGATGAAACAAATAACTTGCCCATCAACGCAGGGACCATGAAAATATCTAGAGCGTGCCCCTCTGTGGTGGGTCAGATATGCTTCTTGATCCGCCGGCATGCGGAAAAAACTATGCAAAGCCAATGGGCAGAAATTGAATCTATTCTTTTTTGGACAGCCAAGTCAAAACAATGAAGAAGACATTTTACAAATGGGAAATGGGAAATAGGGGAAATACACAGAGACCTCTCTGTGATTTATCCGGGGGCGCTGAGCCCTGGGATTTTATCGCTTCATTTGGGGCGTTATCTGGGTGCGAGCGTAATTAAATTCGTGGTTTTGGTAATTCCTTTTTATTTCCACTTTGCCGCCTCCTCGGTGGGAATGTCGGCTGTTACCCCGAGATGTTATTAAAAAGATAATCGCAATCTTAGACATTTTATTTGCCTCTTTTTTTCTCTTTATTTCGTGGAAATTAAACACGAGAGCTACTGCCACTGCCTGTGTTACCTTGAGAGTTCAACAAGCCAGGCCAAGACAAGGAAGCCGGCACAAAAGTCAGAAGCAATTAAGCGTGCGCAACACAAAAACCCGAAACGGAGGTCAGGAAGGTGGTCGGTCGGTCGGCTAGTAGCCAGTAGCCAGTGGTCCGGGGTGCCGGGCAATTAAATTTTACTGAAGAAGCAAACAAAAAATAAATATATATATATGTAATCACGTCTATATGTGCGTATTTGCAAAGGTCGTTACTGGGGCCTTTGTTTGCCTAGACACATTTGCAATTAGTTGCAGCAAATTGAAGGCAAATGATTTTCATTAAGTCGTAGCTACAGTGTTTTGGTTTTATCAGTAAAACCAAACAATAGGTTTGTTATGTGACTATTATATATATATTAAATCATTCTGTTGCCTTTGTTTTCCTATTGCCTTTGCAATGGTTATGCTGTTATCAATATTTAAGCCTGTTTGAGTACATCAATGGAATAAAAGGCTTTTGTTTTTAAGCTTAATTGAATTACAGGCAAGCACTTGAGATTTTAATTTTATTTTAAACAAAATTTCCAAATAACAATATCTGTTTTTATGGAGAAATACTCGGCATCCCAAGTACTGGTAATAAATCTCATATGTGGGTCGTACCAAGAACTCTTTGCCAATAAATACTTGCAAAATCTTAACCGAAAAGTCCATGCAAACCCATATATATTTATCATATATCTTGAGTGTATACCTTTCTCCCACTTGTCAGGGGGGAAATAAAAGAGTAAACGAATTTACATGGTCTGTGTGTTTTTTGGGGAAAAAGAATACCTGCCGAGGAGGTAGGCAAACCGAAAGTCATGTCGAGAGAAATCTGAGCAAATGAAGTAAAAGGTGTCAAGAACTTTATTGACAGGCAGGCCTCAAGCTGCCAGGTGATGATGAGAAAACAAGAACTGAGTTCCCCAGGAAGACCCAAGCTGAAATAAAAAACAAAACAAACTCAATACGTGACAAACAGACGACAACAAATAAGCGCAAATCAGTATTTTCTTTTTTTGCATTTGACAAATGAGCTACGCGAAAGTTTTTCAAATAATTTTCAGTCTAAATAAACTTAGAAAACTAAGAGAACTCAGAGACTTGGCAGATTTCGATTAACACCTATTGCTTTCAAAGTCATGCATTGCGAATGCGAGTGCTACTACTGGCGAATGCCATTTTTGCACAAAACTAGTTTAGCCAAGCTCGTCGTCGTCGTGTGGGCAGTGAAGTAAGCGATAGGTCGACATACTTTCCGTACTCACTGTCATTGGCAAGTAAATGGAGCAAGAGCAGACATCGCCAGACATCGCTTATAAGGCAAGATCCACTTGGACAGCCAGCAGTCGGAGGCATTCGGGGTGCGACCAAAGCCACAAGGCGTAATTAATGTGGATCGTTGGGGAAATTTGTGTGTGTGTGTTCCAGTGCAACTAGAAGAGTTGCAACTAATGACAACCGAAATGTATTTCCCTTTTCACTAATTAGGAAAGTGGGGAAAAATATAAAAAAAAAGAAAATAAGATGTTAACCAAATTAAAGTGCTTTTCACTTTTAAGTGGAAAGCTTTCTGGTTATTTTAAGCAGTTTTGTTTCTTAAATATATTTGCTTAAATTCAACATTAAGGCACAATTAAAGCTTATATTAAGTACTATTTAGAGCAATTAAATTGAGAAGAGATTAAGAAACATTTATAATATGGTAATCCCCCCTAAAATTATAAAAGTCACAGTAAAAACTCCCTAAATACCCCCACAATTCATCATTACATCACAGTTAGAAAACCAAAAACCAGAGCATTTGAAAGTTGCTGCTAGTTTACAACCATGTATTCCATTTCCAACTCGTCCACTTTACGTTTACGGCCCAGAAACTCATTTGCAGCTGACACCAACAGCAATGGCAGTCAGCCAGTTGCAATAACCAACACGTCGGAATGGGGATGAGGATGGGAATGGGAATGGGGTTTGGGGTTGGGGTTTTGCAGCATGGCACATGGTGGCCACAGGCGAGGGAGTAAGCCTGATGGTGGCTGGTAACGACTTCCAAGCCATGGTCAATATCAGACTCTCTGGCTCGTAGCAGCAGAATGACAGGAAAATATAAAACAGAGACAACAACACAAGCCGAGAAAAACGTGTGCCACAAAATGTCACTCTCATTCGACGATGATGATATTGATGATAATAAAGATAATGATGACTGCGATGGATGCATGGGGATAACTAACTTGGCCAATTGCATTTATGCGGATTGTGACGAATGTCAACGGCACACGCTAATTAAGGTTAATGAAAACGACAAACTGAAGCTCAACAAAAACAAAATATTTATAAAGTGCGACAACACACACCAATGATGAAGATGATTAACGAGGACAGGCTGACTTAAATTGGTATAGGTTATAAGTAATGGCTTTACATTTATGGACAGATAATGTAAATATGTCTAATTTGCATTGAGAAAAGGAGACATGACGGCGTCAAATGATTTCCCTTTCGGTTTTAATTTTATTTTGGCACGTAACTCGACTGCTTGGAATGCGGGGAACAGTGTCTGTTCCTCAGAAACTAAATGAGTCATTTCATTTCCTAAAGAGAATCTTTGAAGTTTTTCCCCAGACGTCGTCGTCCCATTAAGAAACTCATTTGGGTAAGGGAACATTTCAGCCAATTAAACGGTTGAAAGAAAATGCGAGACGGTAAAATCTTTAGGGTGATTTCAGTTGAAATAAAGTAAATAAACACTTACCTGGTTTATTCTGCTAATTGCTGAAAGAGATAAGAATAATGAGAATTAATAAGGTGTTAATTAAGTATTAAATGGTAGAATAAGAATTAATTAAAAAGTAAAGATTTAAATAAATGTAGGAAAATATATTTTATTTTTATAACAAGTAACAAATCTTTTGACGGAGTTAATAAGTTGTATTAAAAAATATATATCAAATCTAAGGATGCTCCAGATTCTATAATATACATCCTGTTCTTAGACAACAAATAGTAAGCAATGTTTCTTTAGCTAAAATATTTACAAATTATGTTTTTCATGTTTGTCTTAGTCTTGAAAATATTTATTTTAAGACTCCTTTTTTTCCTACAACTCATTGACACATTTCCACATGCAATTTAAGGACTACCCCCACACACACAGCTTTCTGGATTGGCTGCTCCTCCATTCTTCATTGTTGGGCCTCAGGAAGTCAGTCGTCTACGCAATGCAGGAGTACTACTGAAGTTACCTTCAAAGTGCCTGCAATTTTTAGCTGCATTTACACTATTCAAAAATTAATGCGCTGCAGAGGAAAACAAAGGAAGGCGGCACACGAAGAGTAGAGCCAAGGAGTGCCATTCTCTGCCTCGCCTCTGTCCTCGTCTGCTGCATAAACGATGCCCCAAGGACGCACTCTCCGACTAAGCCATCCTGCCCCCCAGCCAGTTAACCCTTAGCCAGGTGTGTGCACTCTACAAAATGGCTAGAAGGCAATGTTGGCTTAAATGGAAACAAAGGAGGACAAATTTCGGCTTGGAAAAAGTAACTTTATAAACTTTCGGTAAGATATAAATTACATAAAACTAACTATAACTTTTCTCGATCTTATATCAAACTTTAATCTACTTAAAATCAGTAGAATCAGGAATACAATATCTGAAAATATCAGAAAATTGGATTTAAAATAAATCACCAGATGAATACAAATGCTTTGGCTGCAGTAAGTTGCCCTGAAAAGCAATATAGACCGAGAATGTGCCAACACGAAAATCCCGGCAAAATGCAGTAGAAGGAAAAATGAAGGAAAAGCGAGAGAAATAAAAAAAAAGAATAAAGGAAAATGTCAACCAACTGACGACAGATGGGGGCGCATTATTTTTGTTCACTGCCTGTGCGTTTTTTTTTTTGTTGCTAGGCGATGCGGAAGTTTTTAAATTGTGCAGCGATTTCATTCATTCACGGAGCACAACGACGAGTGTTTTCTTATAAAACCGCTCGACAGACTCCTTGCGCCACCATTGAACCCATAGAAGGGCTCATCCCAAGCTCAGCTCAGTTGCCGCTTGCCACTTGACTTTTCAAGTGAAAGAGGGGAAAAGGGTGGGGTGTGTGTGTAGTATGTGGTGTAATATGGGATGCCCTGGGTTAGGGTGTTCTCCAAACTCAGCAAACAAAGTCATTTATTTGGTTGAACTCAAAAGACGAGAGGCGGGAGACTGGGCGAGGCAGGACTGGAGACTATGGATAAGCCAAGGATGTGTGTGGCCATGTGGCGACGTTGGGTCAAGAGCAATAACGTTGAATAATAAGATTTTCTTAAAGTGTGAATAAAGGAAGATGAGGAGATTGGACTCAAAGGAATTGTGGGTGCATTTAGGAAAAAGAAGAATGTAAGAAAAGGAGCTGTACATGGCCAATATAAAGATAAAGCTTATTATCCTCAAACAGGGAAAAGAGTTTGAAGAAACTTTTACTATAATTTATAAATATTAATTTAGTTTAATTGGGAAATATAAAACCAAGAAACTACTCTATAAAAGTCCATAAATAAACATAAAAAATATTTATGTTATTTATATCCTTCTCAAATCTAACAATTCCCCTTCTTCACCCTGTAAAAACTATCATAAAACATTCCCCTAAAAACATATATTTAGTTTCTTTCTTCAAATACCCCAAATAACTGTCAGCATTTCCAAAAACTTTTGTGAGTAAAGGCACTCCACTAGCCCAGCAGAGCCCTCCATGAATGCAGCTCGCACATAACTCTTTGCAGGGCCCCCCCAAAGGACAACTGCCAAAATGCCAACTGCCAAACAACTGCAACAGCAGCCTTCAAATATCCACACTGGCAGTTCCTTCAAATACACAAGGCAGTCACATGGGGAGGCTCATGAAATATTTAAAACCCATGTTCCATCCAAAAACAAGTCGCCTTACAGGGAAGTGTTGTAAGCCCAAGGAAAAACAAAAATGTGGACAGCAAAGTTTTGTGAGAAAAACGTAGGCATAGTGTGGAATTTTAGCAAAAGGAAAAACTGCCTCAAAAGAGGGCTCCCCTTCTGAGGGTGTGTGGGTGTATGTTTATGGCAACGTTTTGCAATTTAATTAGGCTTGCGCTAAATAAAAAGCAGCGAAAAGATCAAGTTAAGAACATATTTTCTTGAAAAGGGAAAGGGCACTTTGAAAACATACAGAATAAACAGCAGGGACTGCCTTTCAGGGTCAAAATTATTGAATACTTGGAGTTTGAATAGACGTAAAGTTATCCTAGAATTTAATATGCTTTTCTTTTTAATATTTCTAGTAACTATCTAGCCTGTTTCTAATTTAAAAATGAGCTAAATGATTATAATACTGCATACATATTACAATTTAAAGAATATCTTTTAAAAATTGTATATTTATTAAATGCATAGTCAAAGATTCAAAAACAAGTATATAATTTAAGACAAACTAGGCATCCTTTAGCAAAAATCCAGCAGGCTGAGGAAGTTGAGAGTTTGACTCCCTTGGCTAAGGAAGTGTTTCGGTCTCTTCCTGTGCCTCTGCTCAGGAAGTGCTCATTGAAAGTTTATTCTCCATGGGCGTTGTCTCCCATGAGTGTGGGTGTGTGTGGTCCCGGGGTGTGTGTGTGTGCGATGAAACACAAAAATGAAATTTGTCAGACTCAAAAAAGTCGGGGTGTGTATGTGCTACAACGGAAACATGAGCCAGAGAAAGCTTTTGCAGCAGGTTGCTAACATTAAGGAATTTAGAAAAGTTTAAAAATTAATGCTTGTGTAAAATTGAAATGGCAAAAGTTTGTTAGGACAAAAGCCAAGTTAAGGTCCACAGCAAACATCTGCAATTCCATTCAATTAGTTTCAAAACATGAATATTACGAGTGTATTCATACGAATAAACGTTAAAATTAACATACTATTCAAATTGAAAGAAAACATTCAGCGAAACTCACTACACGAATGTGTTTATCCAGTATAAAATTGGATAATTATCAATAAATAAACATAATTCCAGAGGGGTGCGATCAATGAGCCTTAATTGAGTGGGGGTAACCACCCCAATGGGTTCGAAATTGTCTCGTTGGTTGCGCGTAATAAGGCCAACTGTGTGGAACGATGACATTAAATGTTAATCAGGCGACATGTGCGCCAAGCTATTTCCACTCCAAAGGCCAAAGAATGGCGGAGGAGGGACATTAAATACATTGTAGAAAAGAAATTTGCTGGAATCTTTAGGAATAGTAAAGTTTTGTACAGAAAATTTTATATATTTTAAAAGAAATTAGGTTAAAATGTAATATTTTCGCATTTTAGGATGTAATTAATTGTAGTTAAAGGTCTTAATAAAGCTTGGTTATTATTTGATTAACTCTAAATGTAATAGAGACGTTTATAAAGGCACAATGCGTGTCAAATAATTATTTAAAACTGCTATATTAGATTTATTTGGCTTACAAATTATCATAAAACATATTTAACTTAACAAAGAGAGAAATTATAAAGATCGATTCATTAAATCTGAATTAAAAATCGGGTTTTTAAGTAACTAAAGCTATTAATTATAATGAATTATAAAAGCCTGATGACATAATAGTTGCAAATTAATTTACTCATTTTTTTTCCCAGCTTTAAAATCTGCAAAATCTGTGCCGGGCAAAACTTGCTTTATTATATCAATTACGGCGACAGGCCTCCCGGGAAAAAATCATGGTTAAATTTACGAGCCAAGCCAAGTAGAACGGATGTGCAAAAGTTATTATTTATGTTTGGTAATTAAACTAAAAATAATAATAATTACACGGCCTAGCAGCAGAATGAAATGAAAGCCAAGAGTGGCAACAATGGAATCATGTGTCCACACATTCACAAAAGACAAATTGAAGGACACGCCCAGAAACTGACAGGACATATGTATTGCGGAATGTCCTGTCAGTTTCGTTGGGGCCCCGAATGCCAGTTTATTCACATTGCTAACTATGTTTCTGTGCGGATTTTGTGCAAATATTTAACATCAAATTACATGAATATTTCAAGTTGTCACAGAGCAGTAAAACAGCTGAGATTTAAGGAGGTTTTATAAGCTGTTACATAGAGTATATACTTATTTTCTGTACATGGAATCTGTTAAGTATCCAGGAAACTTCTTCTTTGGTAATTTGTTACCTCTCAAATACACATACATATGTACAAATAAGACTCCATCCTCACAACTTACCCAAAAGAAAACCTTGGGCGTAAGTAATTTATTCCCACAAAATATCACCGTCTTCCCCCCAAAAGGAAGTTGCACTGGAAAAACTTAAAGGATTTGCACATGATTACACCAGGAATTTATGTAACAAAGGGGTGGGCTTGCTCCTCCTCTGAAATCGTTCAGCCATAGTTTTTTTTTTTTTTGTTTTTTATGACAAGGAAAAACTTTTGTTAGTTGCGCTGTAAAAACAACAAAAGTTTGTGGCAGCAAAACAGCAAGAATAACACTAACATCAGCAGCTGTCATAACCATGGATGATACGAGATGAGGCTTGAAAGTTGGCGGGATGTGTTGAAAAACATAACAGGATGGCCTTAAATATTTCAAGAGTGTTTTATGCATATTTTCATTGAAATTTAAATCTGTACCTAACATTTTTCCTTTACCAAGTTTAACCCCCTGCCAAGCCAGGGAGCTTGCACTGCAGCACAACCTGCCAATAAAACATGAAATATTCCGCATAAAATAACGCGCATACGCCGGGTCAGCCAGCTGGGAAGAGGATGGAATGGGACTGGGG